AGTTAAAAAAAAAAAAAAAAAAAAAAAAAGAAACCGAAAATCTAGTACTATAATAGGCCAGGTGAGTTTTTTTATTTTCTTAAAGTATATATTATCTGACTAAAAAGGTATTTTATTAATGGTGAAAATATAAAGTTGATGAAGCCGAGCCGATAAGCTGGTTTCAAGACACTTGTCTTTCTTGGAAAGATCTCTTTGCACAACGTCTGCTCTGCTCACTCACTCTCTATATATATCGTCTTCCTCGTTTCTCAATCCTCTGTGTATCTCTCTATACCTTCTCTGAACTCATAACCAACGCAAACCAAAGGAACCAGAGGAAAGAAGATAAAGATTCTTAACTCGTTCCATTTGTTGTACTCTCGACCATGAGGATCGTACGCTCCACGGAGAAGTTCTCGGCGGAGCTGAAGAAGTTCATGTGCTCCGCTGTTCAGAGGAGGAGAGAAGACGATGGGTTCCGAGGCTCGAGAGGTGGTAAATCAAGAAATGAGATGGATCTTGATTCCGACGCCGGGAACAGATTGGTTTGTGTTACCGGCGGCGTTTCTTACCTTGGTCGTGCCATTGTCAAGCGTCTCCTTGTTCATGGATACTCCGTGAGAATCGTTGTTGATTGTCTAGGTAAATTTTTATACTTACTGTTCGAAAATGTTTTTTAGTACAAAAATTATTTAAGAAAAGTAAATCAAGTTTATTATATAAAGTTTTTTTTTTGCTAATATTTGGTGCATACATTAAGTTTATTATATAAAGTTTTGAGGTCTATGAAGTTTGATTCGTTCTCCTAACTTTGGTCGGAAAAAAAATATAAGCAGAGGACAAAGAGAAAGTGAACGAGATGGAAGCTGACGCTGAAACGGCGTCGTATGGCGACAGGATAACGTCAGTAGTGTCACGATTAACAGAGACCGAGAGTTTGATTAAAGCGTTCGATGGTTGTGATGGCGTTTTCCACACCGCAGCATTTGTCGATCCAGCTGGGATCTCTGGTTACTCGGTATGTTTCAGTTTCATCAACATCTAATAGACAATGCACTAAAGCACATATAATAAACGTATCTCCATCCTTGTTTATACGTACGTAAATACTTATTATACTCATGCAAATACGTATGATAATTCACAAACGAATAGGCTTGCCATGAAAAAAATGCTTATCAACGTAATTACTTGTGTGGTTTCTGTGTGATTCAAATAACTTTTTGTTTTTGTTATGTAAGCATAATTTTATGGCGTACGTGTTAGGTGTGTATATGAGAATGTGACAAAGTGGATACTTTTAATTGGTTTATCCTTTCCAATTTTCCATCGTTTTATTTCTAGAAGACACTCTTAAGTGGCTCTACTTTCTTGTTAGTAAAGTGGTTATGACTTGTGGTTGGTACTTAGCAAGTACCTTAGTCTTTCTGAATGTTTGTTAGATTATAGTACAACTTTTGTCTTCAATCATAAATTTCAATGGCCTAAATACTTTTGCTTAAAAAAACTTAGATTGTGTTTATCTTTTTGTTGAAAAACAGAATTCATTATCAACCGACTTTGAAAGAGTTGATCGCTCACTACCAACAAAATAAATAAAAAAGAGTTGGTTGATAACTCTTGTGATTGTGAAATCTAAACACTTTTCTTTAGAATAAATTGAAAATATGCCACTTTATTTGAGATTTTTGTGTGATTTCTCTTCTTTATGTCAAACATTTTGACAACATTCATCCTCAACCACCTGATACTAAAGAGAGTTATGAGTACTTAATTTTTGCAATATGAAATTTGTACACTTCTAGATGGATAGTAGGTTCCACTTGTTTTAAGAGTTAACTGTGACCTCCCCCTCATACATGCATATTCTCTACCTACTGATAACGACAGCTATCTAGAAGAAGAGGTTTCTGATTACATGTGAATATGTGTTTGGTTGCGGATACCTTATCTACGTCAACCATTAATTGAAACGTGTTACCAACCAAAACCGTTGATTCAGTAACTACAGCATACATGTCATCATATCACTTAGATGATCCGATGAATAACAAACAAAAGCAAAATACACCTGTAGTGCCTTTCTAAGTTTAATCTTAAAAAAAAAAAAAACTCTTTTTTAATTTGTTTTAGTTTCTGCTCTAACAAAATTATGTTTTGCAGAAATCAATGGCGGAATTAGAAGCAAAAGTGAGTGAAAATGTAATAGAAGCATGTACAAGAGCAGGGTCAGTGAGAAAATGCGTCTTCACATCATCTCTCTTAGCATGTGCTTTGCAAGATAATTCCCTGGACGATCTTGATCACTCTACTATCAATGAAGAAAGCTGGAGCGATGAACAACTCTGCGTCGATAATAAGGTAAAAGATAATCATATTTTTTGCATTTGTTTTTGTTATTATTTATGCATGATAATGTTTTTTCATGGATCCACCATAATTAATACTAATATTGTCTGATTCACAGCTTTGGTATGCACTTGGAAAATTGAA